ATGTTTGGAAACAAATATGTGTCTAATAAAGTTTCATACAATTCCAGGGTTCTGGTGGGCACTTGAGGTGGGGGCAGTGGCTAAGTTCAGGATCCCTTCTGCTGTGAAGCTATTGTATATTGTTATTATTGGGCTGGAGCGATAGCACAGCGGGTAGGGCGTTTGCCTTGCACGCAGCCAACATGGCCGACCCGAGTTCGATTCCTCCGCCCCTCTCGGAGAGCCCGGCAAGCTACCGAGAGTATTGGATATGCCAGACACAGTAACAACAAAGTCTCCAATGGAGACGTTACTGGGCCCGCTCGAGCAAATCGACGATCAACGGGAGGGCATAATAATAAAGTCTTCTGCTCCCACGCCTGGCTGTTCCTCGCCGAGGCCCGTTTGAGGGGAGTGGGTTGAGCTTTCCTCCCCGCCCCGACCAGGGCTCCGGCAGCCAAAGACCTCCAGGACCAGCCACCGCCATGCTGAGACCACTCTCCACATGCATGAAGGTACCGGCAGAGGGACAAATCCACGCGGGTTCCGGGGCCAAGACCTCCAAGCCTACTCGGATTGGAGTCGAGCATCCTCCACCCAGATCCTCCAAATTCCAGTAGGTGGGGGTCACACCCACCACCTGGCCCCCTGGCGCCGTGTAATCCCATCAACGGCCAAGACTCAGAGACTATAAAATCCAGCTCCCGGAACCGGAACATCTTATCAGGACATCTTTTTATGACATCTTATTATCTCATTCCTACTTTGGACAAACTTGCAGGCTATCGAATGTAGCCTGCCCACAGGGCAGAGTCTGGCAAACTCCCTGTGTTGTACCCAATATGCCAAATACCAGTAACAATGATGGGTCTCATTCTCCTAAAGAGCCTTGAATATAATCTCAGGGCTAGGATGAAAGAGACGTTACTGGGGCCTGCTCGAGGCAATCGACGAATAACAGGATGATGAAAAATTATTTTTATTATTATTGGCAGAGCGATAGCATAGCAGGTAGGGCCTTTGCCTTGCATGCAGCTGACCCGGGTTCTATTCCTCCGTCCCTCTCAGAGAGCCCAGCAAGCTACAAACAGTATTCCACCATGTGGCAGAGTCTGGCAAGCTCCCCCTGGCGTATTGATATGCCAAAAACAGTAACAATAAAGATGTTACTGGTGCCCGCTCAAGCAAATCCATGAACAATGGGACGACAGTGCTACAGGACAGTGCTATTTCTTATTATTGGGGAGTTACGCTGGAAGTCCTCAGGGACTACTCCCAGCTCTAGCCTCAGGGTCCGTTCCTGGAGGTACTCAGGAATAAAAACTGAACATGGCTGCAAGTAAGACAAGCTTCTAAATCTCTGTAGAATCTTCTCTGGCCTTGCCAATTGCTTCAAGTGTGAGTTTTGATGCAATATTGTATTAGTCTGCTACACTGCATGCTGTGGGGGCTTAGTCAACAGAAATGTGTTATCTGATGTGGCTAGAGAAGAGCACCAGGTGTTGGAAATAATCCCCCTAAGGAAGCCCCAGGGTGGGAACAGCCCCCTGAGCCAAACAGTTTAGATCTTTTAGAATATAATCAGTCAGCAAAGGAGCATCCAGGAAAGAATAGGTGACAAAACGTGAGATCCAGGAAAGGATAGAATAAAATAGCTTTGGGTTTTTAAAATGTAGAGGCCAGCATAGGCAAAAAGGGAACAGGAGGCTGTCCTCACCATACACTTAAAGGGTGCCTGCTGATTGGCTCTGTGGAACATCCCAGCCTCTTTTGGGAATATCACTGTCACTGTCACTGTCCTCCCGTTGTTCATCGATTTTCTCGAGAAGGTGCAGTAACATCTCCATCGTGAGACTTGTTGTTATTGTGTTTGGCATATCGAATACGTCACGGGTAGCTTGCCAGGCTTTGAACTGTGGGCAAGGTACTCTCAGTAGCTTGCAGGGCTCTCTGAGAGAGGCGGAGGAATCAAACTCCGGTCAGCCGTGTGCAAGGTGAACGCCCTACTGCTGTGCTATCACTCTAACCCTCTGGGAGTGTACTCACTGAATTTTGATGTGCTTACAAACTTGTTAATGTCTCTGTCAACTTGAACAATAACTCGAGTGAGGGTGGGGAGAGCGATATTGTATTAATAAACAGTCTGTGTGCTCACTCGTGGCTGCCCAAACAACCCCAAAGCTTGGACCACTCTTGTGTGTCTGTCTCCAAGCTTCTCTGTCTGATTCTCTGTGGCCAACCCCGCTGGATGAAGGTGCCAATTGATTTGCTTTATTGTGATAAATTGCCACCTCAGGGGGTTAAGGCGCAGTCCCTTTGCTTTGCATGTGGCAAATCTGGGTTTGATCCCGGGCACCATATGGTCCCCCAAGTCTCATAGGGTGCAGCCCTGACAGCCCCGGAGCACTAGAGCCAGGGGCAGGCTGAGTGAGTGGCTTCATCTGCACACTTGTGTTGTCTCCCAGCTCTAAGAGGAGACATGACAAAGGCATCAGGAGGAGGGTCGAGGTCCAGAGTCCCTCTCTGTGTGTGCAGACCTCTCTGTGCTCACCTGGCCTTCCCTAGATGCCTGGGAGCAGAGAGAGAGACAGAGATTTCCCAACATTCCTACCTTAGGGGGACACCGACCTCTTCGGGTCTGGCCCCATGATCACCTAACCTAATCACCATCGCTCCGTAAGGTCTGCTCTCCAAAGCTGTAAGACATAGACTTTCGGTGCTGTTTGTGGCCCTCTCACTAGTTTGAGACAGTGGAGGGCAGGGTCCAGAGAGGGCTTGTGGCCTTCCTGGGGCCACTCAGGGCAGAGCCTGGTTCCAGCAGTGAGTGACAGCAGGGGATCGTCCTCTGGGAGACAGGTCTCTGCATAGAACTTCCAGAGGCATTCAGGGTACCAGGTCAAGCTGAAGGAACATCAAACAGCCATTCAGAAAGGGGTGGAAATGTGCTGCCTGCCGAAAGCCAGGAGTGCAATTCTGTGGACTCAAACGGGCACACCAAGACCACAGACGGTCCGTGAACATGCTTAATTGCTTTAGCTTGAGGCAGAGGAGTTTTGTATTGCGAGAAAGACTTATAGGGACCTGAAGGAAATGTCTTTCCTCCTTTTTGCTTTTCACTTCCTTTTTTTTGTTGTTGTTGTTAATAAACCTTTTGCTCATTGATTTCTCACTAACTACTGGCCTTGAAATTTACCAAGGGTTTAGCATCATAGTCTGTATGTGTAATTGTGTTCACGTGATCCCATTTCCTGGGACTCATCTGTGCCCTAATTTCTGCCACTGACTTTTTTTTTGGGCGGGGTCACACCTGGCGATGTACAGGGGTTACTCCTGGCTCTTTACTCAGGAATTATTCCACTGAGTTTTAAGCCACGCCAGCAACGAAATCAAACTCACAGATGCCTGGAGAATCTAGTCAGGCCATGGGCCCTTCCTGCAGTCACTGGAAAGTGTCCTGGCATCGGCTCAGCCTCTCAACACAGACACCCAGGGGCTGAGGTTTTGCCTTTCCTGCCTTATCGTTAGATTCTTCTTTAGTGCCAACCTCTGCCTGCCAACCCCCACCATTCCAACTTGTTTGACACGTCCCTCCCAGGCCCCCAGCACCTGCCATCCCCAGTCCCCAAAGTGTAACTGTGTGGATTGTGTGGAAAGTACACATGTTCCCCCAGGGGACGTGGACCTCATTGGGACTGTCACACTAACAGATGGACCTGCAAGGAGAGTAGGAGTTGGAGGGGACGGAGGTGGAGCATGGAGGTTGGGAGGGGGGAGGCAGGGTACGGGGCAGAGCACCTGAGCCCTGAAAACTGTTCCAGGCTTGGGGAGGGGCCTCTTCAGAACTCTGGAACTTATAATCAGTCATTCTGACATAGCACAGCGGGTAGGGCATCTGCCTTGCACGCAGCCAACATGGCCGACCCGAGTTCGATTCCTCCGCCCCTCTCAGAGAGCCCGGAAAGCTACCGAGAGTATTCGATATGCCAGACACAGTAACAACAAAGTCTCCAATGGAGTCGTTACTGGGCCCGCTCAAGCAAATCGATGATCAACGGGAGGGCCTTTACTTTACTTTATTCTGACATTTCAGGGTTGGCAGCAAGGCTCTGTGGGGCGCATGATCTTTGCCTGGCGCTGGCAGCTCCGTGAACGGGCAAGTCCCCTTGTCCCCTTGGCCATGTCTATCTCCCAGTGGGAAGCACACAGAGGCAGCGGTCATGGTTCAATCTGTGGAGTCAGTGCCTGCAGGTGCTCCCAACCTCCCGGCTCTGTTGTAGTGAGCACATCTGTTACTTTGTGTATCCGTGGCCCTCCCTGTGGCAGGGGTCCCTCTGCCTGTCTTGATGTCAGTGGTCAGAGAGCTCCCGTTAGGGCTAAGGGATTAAGCTGTTAGCCTTGCCATGCAGCCGCCCCAATTGTGGTCCCACCCCCAGCACCACATACAATAATCCCCCCTGAGCATCACTGGGTGCAGACTGGCCCCCTCCAATGAAGTTCCATTTATTTATATGCTTTATTTGGAAGATTTATTTGGAAGACATGGGAGAGAAGAAAGAGCCCCATGAGGGAAAACAAAGGAACCAAACACCCCCCAGGTGGGCTGCTGGCAGCTCCAAAGGCAACGCATGTCACTTGCTTTGGTTCCTTTGGGAATCATTATTCCAGTTGAGGTGACATGGTGACCATAGGGTTGGCAGCCCTGAGGTGGATGTCCACAACCACTACACCTTCCCCACCACCAAAGCGCCCAAGCCCTCCACCAGTGTCACGTCAGAACAGGGAAAGTGACTTTCCCAAGGTCTTTGGGCCTCTGTGCAGGTCTGTGGCCAGGTTTATCCAGGCCAAAGTTCCCGCCCTTCCACACAGCCTGACTCTCTTGGCAGTCCCGGGTTCCACTGAGGGTGCGGCTAGATGGAGCTGGGCTGCAGATCGGGGCCCTCAGGATAGCCTCCCTCAGGACAGAGGCCTCTCTGCAGGGATGGACAGGGTGAGCTTGGGTCCCAGCAGCCCCCTGAAGCAGCTCACAGGGCTCGCTCCCGCTCACGTCTCTGCAGCCAGAGGCCCTTCCGGAATCCATTCTGCACCATCCCACTGCCCAGCCCATAGTGGAGAGCGTTGACGGTAGGCACGGTCTTGGCGATGAGGGCAGGCACCTGTGATGGCAGAAGAATCCAGAAAGGGAACTTCACAGCCTCAGGTTCTCTCCCTGGTCCCTCCCGGTGATCCCAGACAGGATCCTTGTTTGGCTCCTGCAGCTTCTCACCCTGACTTGAACCCTGGCAAGCCAGGGTCCCTGCTCCGGCCCCAGACCCTGGGCCCAGGCAGCTCGGATGTGCTTTCCATCTCCCTGTTCTCGCATCCCACATGAGGCCCAAACCAACATCCCAGAAGCAGCCCTCCAGTGCCCCCCACCCCAATCCAGGAGACAAACGCATGCGGTGCACAAGGAAAGGTCCAGCAGGGCAAGGAGAGAGATGGACGCAGAGGCCAGCAAGGCAGGGAAGTATGGGGTGAGGCAGAGAGACTGCCACGGGGTGACGGTGCTGGGGCATTTCTGTACCATCTGCAGCTTGGGAGAGATGGACGATCCACCCACGACGGCTGCGTAGAGGTACAGGAACGCATAGGGACCCCAGCCCAGCATCAATGCCCTCGCCGGCACGGTGCTGTTCACCTGCGGGATATCAGCATGGGAGGAAGTGTGTGGGCTTGTGCTCTGTCGTCTCAGAATGTGGCATGGAAGTAAGAAGTCCGCAGCTTCATGGAACTGAAGTGCCTCTCTCATGCACAACACAGGATCAGCCCCTCGGGTTGTGGAGTCCCAGAATCCACAGACTCATCCTTTGTTACTTTAAGGAACCCCCTTCAGAATATATCCCGAGGGCACAGAAAAGCACAGTAGAAATGATATCAGCACCTGTCTGTACATGGCAGCACTGTTCACATAGCCAGAATCTGGAAACAACCCGAGTGCCCAAGAATAGACAACTGGTTAAAGAAACTTTGGTACATCTACACAATGGAATATTACGCAACTGTTAGGAAAGATGAAGTCGTGGAATTTCCTTATAAGTGGATAGACACGGAGAGTATCATGCTAAGTGAAATGAGTCAGAAAGATAGGGACAGATACAGAAGGACTGCACTCATTTGTGGAGTATAAAACAACATAACCCGAGACTGACACCCAAGGACAGTAGACACAAGGGCCAGGAATATTGTTCCATAGCTGGAAGCCTGCCTCATGAGCTGGGGAAGAAGGCAGCTGGAATAGAGAAGGGATCACTAAGAAAATGATGGTTGAAGGGTCAGTCGGGATGGGAGATGTGTGCTGAAAGTAGATAAAGGACCAAACATGATAACTCCTCAGTATCTGTATTGCAAACCATAATTCCCAAAAGTAAAGAGAGAGTATGGGGGAAGTTGTCTGCCATGAAGGCAGGGGGAGGGTGGGAAAGGGCGAGGGGTTATACTGAGAAGATTGGTGGTGGGGAATGTGCACTGGTGGAGGGATGGGTATTTGATCATTGTGCGATTGTAACTGAAACATGAAAGCGTGTAACTGCATCTCATGGTGATTCAATAAAATAAATAAATAAGAAAGGAACCCCTTTCAGCCTCTGTTTCCTTGTCTGCATCCCGGGGGTAACAAGGCTCTCTTTAGAGCATGGTCGTGAAGATGAAATGACAGGACGCACAGGAAGTCAGCCTTCTTGCGTCTGGCTGGGACTGGAGAAGATTCATCTGCTACAGACTGTCCAGGTGACAAAGCTAAAGGGGAAATGTGGCCAGGTAGTGCTAATGCAGGAATCCAGAGATGGCTGGGGAGGAGGTGGAGGTGCTTATTCTGCAGTTGCTGTTTTTCTTGGATAAATGTGTTTATAGGTGTGAGTTTATGTGGTAGGTAACAGCCTGTGCCTGTGATGGAATTAAATAGCTCAGAGCAATTTAGAAGTAGCTTTTTAGGTCAGGCATTTAACTCAGCGGCTGAACACATAGCTTGTATGTGTGAGGCCTGGGTTCTATCCCTGGCATCCGCTGCCCCCACCCCAAATTTTTATAAGGAGCTGCATCTTAAAGCATGTGATTTCATGTGACTCTTGTAATCTTTAGAAGACTGAAGGGAACGGCTCCCTGTGTGTGGGGGGGAGGGGATTGGCTGGCAGGCACACAGACCCTCAGGGTTCTAGGTAAAGGTTTGGTAAGGCTCAAGTGTCTGCATTATTCCAGTTCTTAGCGATGCCTGGTCATGAAAACAGTGAATTTCTATGCACTATCCCTATCTATGCTCTGTGCAGCTACGTTTTCTTCTGATGGTGCAAATCACTGCAAACCCTTGCTCGCTGTCTGTGACATCATTTACGTGCCCCGGGATCCCTGAGAGACATGCTTCCTGCTCTAGGTTCTTCTCTCACCTGGGGGTGGCCCATCTTCCTGAGTTTCTGCTCCATCAGCTGATAGGACGTGAGCGTGATGAAGAGGGGCAGGAGGAAGTTGAAGAAAGCCATGGTGAAGAGGAAACTGATGAAGTTCCTGCAGGCAGAGGGAAGGGAGGGAAGGGAGGATAATCTCTCAGGACTGCTCAGCCATTGGCCAAGGCTCACCCGTCTTTGCCCAGGGCAGCCAGAGGCCAAGGGGGCTCCCATCAGACAAGTTCGCGGAGCCTTTGGAGCATCTGGGTGGGTCCCAGCTAACTCGGCCCTGAGTCAGGTGACCACTTGTGTCTCTAGCACTTGCCTTGGGGGCCGGGAAGCTGAGTTGAGAGACGCTCTCCTTATGGCTCTGTGGCTAATTTAGCTCAGCCCTGCTCTCTGTGTGCCCAAGCAGGAACAAAGGGGCATCTGCTTCAGGGCAACCTATTTAGTCAACGGAAGAGTCAGTAAACCAAGAACAAGGAGGCTCCAGGGAGTGTTACGGGCAGAAACTAGGAAGGCACCTGCACAAACACTGCAGTCCCTGAGCTGGGGAAGGGCCTGGATGGTGGGCAGGAGGAGGACATGGCAGGGGGAATCACTCTGAAGCAGAGACCCATCTTTTGCAGGAAGGGGCGGGGAGGGGCGGGGGCGCATGCCACTTTGGGGGTAAAGAAGCATTTCCCAAAGAGGTGGGCACATTCAGGGAAATACCTGCAGTGAGTACATAAGAAGGACATGGACCATGGCCAGTGGCTGCAGGGTACACCCTTCATGACTATACATGAGCGGATATGTAAAACCGTGGGATCCAAGGCACTCACTGGGAGTAAGGGTGGCTGAAGCCCTTGTCACTGTCCCCCGCAGCCACCCCCTAAGGACCTGGTTAGAGTCTTGGGTTGGGTCAGGATCTGACCCTTTATTTCTTTATTTTTTTATTCTTTTTCTTTTTCTTTTTGGCTCATACCCAGCAATGCTCAGGGATTAATCCTGGCTCTGCCCTCAGGAATTACTCCTTGGCAATGCTTGGGGGACCATATGGGATGCCGGGGATCGAACCCAGCTTGTCCGTGTGCAAGGCAAATGCCCTACCCGCTGTGCTATCACTCCAGCCCCCCGGATCTGATCCTTTAGACAGGCTCTGACAGCTCAGGATCTGGGCTTCATTTCGTCTGGCTTTCCATAGCTTTGCTTGGGAATTGGCTCTCAACATACCTACCATGAGTTCAGGGCCACTTTGGGCCACTCGCAACCAGGACACATTTGCACTAGGAACTAATGAGAGCCAGAGCCAGGCCAGCTGACTGTGCTGAAGCTGGCATGGGGTGCAGTGGCTGGTAAATGACAGAGGTTGGTGGCTCACCACAGGCAGCCGAGATCTGTGTCTCTGTTAGCACAGCATCCATGCACGTGGCTAGCTGCAGAATGGGTCTCCCCTGTCCTTCTGACTATTATCTGTGGGTCTCATGACTCTGTGCTTGGATGGGAAATTGTGGACATGTCCCCATTTGGATTTTTCCGTGGTGACATTGCTGCCCTAAGGACTCAAATGTTTCCAGGACATTGGAGGGGGGCTTGCAGCGGACCCTGCCCCTCACCTGTCCCCCCTGGAGTAGTCCAGGGTGCAGCATGTCCCGAGCGGCTCATAGTCATAGTGGCCCCAGCCCAGGAGGGGCAGCGCTGCCCAGAAGGCAGAGGAGAGCCACACAAAGATCACCAAGGCGATGGCCACGTCCCACGCCAGCTGCCTGCCTGCAGAGGACAGAGGAGAACGGATGAGAACTGGAGAAAGGAAAAATTGATAGACTTCCCACTCACCAGGAGTGTTCCTAAGTCCTGGTTCTGGCATGTGTGAGTCTTACAGGCATGTCAGAGTCTCTCTGAACCTTAGTTTTGTTTACCACAAAACGAAAACAGTCAGCACCTCCGGGGACTGCTGTGAAGATTGACACAGGCCCTCACTGGTGGTGGCTCCTATCAATACTGTGTCACTTCCTGTGTGGACTTGGGAGGGGAAGGAGAAGAGTCAAGAGTGTCCTAAGGTAGCTTTAGGGAAGAAGCACAGTCTGAGCTGCAGGGGCGAGAGGCAGAGTCTAGATTGGCCCCGTCCCCTGCTTTGAAGCCCTCTGAGAACTCAGAGCCCGGGGTTGGGACTCCATCTCTATACCAATGGCAGAGGCCGGGTCTTCAGGGCACCTTCTGCTGTGACCAGTGCCTCCTTGTCCCTGCACCTATGTCTCTGCCACAGCCTCATCTATCTCTTTCCTTTGCCACCCAGTGGGCAGGGGCCCTCCTGTGGGCCCTCCTGGGCCTGGTTTCCTGGTGTCCTGCCCTGGTATCTCCTGTCTGTGGATAGTTGTCACCTTCCTTTGTAGTCAGGACCCCAGAAATGACAATGGGGCTTGATGGGTATTTATTTATTTAATTTGGTTTTTGGGTCACACCCGGCGATGCACAGGAGTTCCTCCTGGTTCATGCACTCAGGAATTACTCCTGGCGGTGCTCAGGGGACCATATGTGATGCTGGGAATCGAACCTAGGTCAGCTGCGTGCAAGGCAAAGACCCTACCTGCTGTGCTATTGATCCAGCCCCTTGATGGGGATTTCATAAGCAGAGAAAATCCATCTCTAATTTCCTCCTCCTGATACATGGCTTCCATTAGTCATTTCCAAGGAGAATTTACCGGGCTGTATCTCCTGCTTTGTCTCCCAGCATATTTAGATGTTGAAACCCTATTTTCCACGTGACACTACTTAGGGGAAGCACCTTGGGGTGGCGGTGGTAACCAGGGAGAGCCCCGTGATAGGATCAGCACCCTTAGAAAGGGATAAGTGCGCGGAATATAGACTACTGGATGAAGAAATGTATTGCAGTGAAAGGTGGCTGCTAGGTCACAGTTTACCCCGGTGTTTAGAGAGGACAGAGAAGGAAAGAAATCAAGCAGGGGAGAAGAGAATGGGAAGTAATAGATGAACAGGTATCAGCGTTTCAGCTACACTGAACGGCCTAGCCAAGTACCCAAAATACAGACTCAGCAGAATGAGAACATGAGCTTCTAAGTTGTAGCTGCTGAAACTTTGTAATGTGCCCATCAAGTTGACAGGCAGCGATGGATGTGGTGGGGGTGGGGTGGGGAGGGAATATGGGGACACTGGCGGAGGGAAATCGTCACTGATGGGGGGATTGACGTTGAAATATTACATGCCTAAAGCTCAACTACCATTAATTTTGTAAATCATGTTCTTTAATTAAAAAAAAATGAAAAGGGGAATAGTAGTCCAGAGCTCACATGCACTCTCGCACCCTCCATCTTTTCCTCCCTCACCCCACAGTCACCCACATTTACACGCAGACCCCCCCCCACCTGGGAGCCTGATCACCCACACAGTGTGAACCCCCAAAGACGTACGAGTGCAATAGTGGTGGTAGCGTCCCCAGGCGATGGCCGCGCTGCTGCAGATGCTGGCTAATGCTGTCGCAAAGCCCTGGAAGCCGTGAGCCTGGCAGCCGTCTGGGCCAAAGGGCCAGCGCCTGTGGGAGACACTGGGCACCAGTGACCCGTCCCCTCTGACCTACCTGGCAGCTACTGGGCGGGCAACTTCCTGAACGCTGGCCCAGTTGCTGAGAGGGCTTTGTAGCTCCTGTTCCGGCTGGGGCGTCAGAATTGAGTCTCTGGGAAGCAGGAGTGACTGCACCATGTGTGACTACACCACGGCTGAACCAATGGGTCTCTCTGCCTGTGGCAGGGACCCCCATCCCAGAGGGGGAGCACCCTGAATAGAGGGAGAGTTTAGGTCTTTTTTTGTATGGATGGGGAAACAGAAACTCAAGAGAGGGAAAGGTGCTTCGCCAAGGTCACACAGCAGATGCACACAGAACCAAAAGGTATTGCTCAACCTCGGGCCACATCATGGCAATAGAATCAGGGGAGGGGCAGGAGGAGACCAGGTGAGGGCACTGACATAGATCCCAAAGTCAGTTCTGATCATGTGTTTGCAGCATTTCTGGGCACGACAGCCAGAAACAGGCATGTCCAGAGCACTTGAGAAAACAGTTTTATAAACACCTCTGAGGCTACCTGTGACCTTGGTTTGCTTATAGGGAGCTGGTAGACACTCATCAAAGCTCCTGTGTGTGGTTTTTGATAGGACTAAATGCTAAGCATTATTTTAAGGTATTTACAAAGAGTAGCTAGTCAGGACTTGCAACAATCATCTGACTTTGGTTGATAGAAGAATCAGAAGAGAAATATGGAAGCCAAGGTTCATCCCCCGGCAGCTGGGCTACAGGCAGGTCAAGTGTGAGCCACTCCTGGGCTCCAGCAATCAGCCGGGGTTCTTCAGGGTCAGCCTGGACTTCAATGGTAAGTCTATCTCTACTTGTCTATCCTTTACCCCTCTGTTTTCCCCAAGGAGAGAAGAGCGAGGCCAGCCAGGGTGCCCTGTGGCTCCAAGCATCCTGGCAGGACTCCCGCGCCCAGGGACAAGTGAGGAGGCTGATACCGGAGGAGGCTGAAGGTGGCCGCGATGAAGGCATTCAGGCTGATCCCACTGTCGGCCAGAGCCAAGCTCAGCACCAGCAGGTGACTGGGGCTCCGCAGATCCGGGCTCTTGCAGAAAGAGAGGATGGTCAGGCTATTGAGACTGAGACCGCACAGAGCTGGGGGAGAAGGGTGAAGGCCAGCATCAGGGTTGGAGAGATGCTACTCCCCACCTACACCCCAAACGCAGGCTCAAAACCAAGGGTCAGTGGGATCAATGGAGCCTAGGGAACTGCCTCCTTCATGGCCAGTTACCCTGCAGGGCAGTTCAACAAACAATAGCCACCCGGGCTGGTCGCCTCACACTTACCCCCTGCCCTCTACAGCTCATAATCTAATGGGGACACAGACAAGGCAGAAAACTAACAAAGCGTGACCCCACGGTCCATGCTAGAATAATCATAATTGTCACTGTGGCTGGCCAATGAAGCAGGCGTTAAGCACTTGACGTGGGGAGTCTCATTCACTCTTTAACCTTTACCCCTGTATGGCTGGGAACGGAGGTGCAGAGATGCTGGTGAGTGTGCATTACATATACTGCTCGGAATGGTGGAGTTAGGACGTGGCTATGAGGCCTCGAGGGAGACCACTGGAGAGGAGAGCTCAGAGCAAGGAGGGCTTGAAGCAGGTGGTCTCCACACGGCCCAGCTGAAGGGGCGCTGGGCACTCAATTGCTAAGCCTTGAGCTTTCCATGTCTCGGGTTCCCTCATCAAACGTGAGGAAGTGGGAAGAACTCTGCCTCCAGTACTCAGAGCTCTTACTAGGAGGGCAGGGTGTGGAAAAGCTTTCTAGGAGGGTGGAACTGTGTGTGCCAAGACAAAGTGCAACATGTCAAGGTGTGTGTGAGGGACGTGAAGGATGCAAATAAGGTGGAGTTCCCAGAATAGAGTGGTATGGGCTGGGACGATCGATCCCAGTCACCTGGAGCAGCCCAACCACTGTCACTGTTCTCCACTGTTAGCTCCCGCTGGGTGAGGCGATGTGCAGATTCTTTCTTGGGGTCGGCGTAGACCTGTGTGAGGTGCGCCTGATTCCAGGGCCTACCATCTCAGAGAGCATCTGAGGGATTCTAAGTTAATGCAAGCATCTTATGGACTCAGGACACCCTTAAGGGAATCAGAGGAGGAAGAAATGATGGAGGGGGGTATGGAATAGCGGGGAGTGTTTAGAGAGAATGAATTTAAATCCCAGAGCATCCGTAAGTCTAGCCATGCCTACTATCTAACACAGCACTTGGTCTGTGCAGTCTCTGAGGTGAGAGAGTGATGGCTTTGCCCTGGTCCCTGGCTGGTCCCAGGGAGTAGCGCAGAGCCACAGTCTCCTCAGCAGACCCTGGTCTTAGATGACTCTTCACAGGGTTCCTGGGCCGGGTGGCGGGGGGCACAGTTTAAGGTTGAAAGGACACAGAAAGGCCCAAATCTGGTTCTTCATTCTGGGCAAATGAGGCCCTCCATGTCCCTCCTGCCAGGCCCTTGCTGGCATCTCTCTCTCACCCCCCCGCCTGCAGTGTCATGCCTCAGTTCAGCCATCTGAAGACCCCAGAGGTCCAGACACAGGAGCAGGATTTGGGGACTTGCTCCTTTCCAACTTCCAGGCTGCAGCCCAGCCCTCTGGATCACGCGTCTCCACCTGGCGGTGCCTGACTCACCTTCCACCAGCAGCACTGTCCCCATGGCCAGCACTTCCACTTCCCTGAAGCCGGCGGGCAGGGCCCTGGACTCTGTCATCTTTGACCTTCTTCCCAGCTGGTCAAGTGCTTCTCTGGCTCCCACCGGCTCCCACCAGCCAGACTCTGGCCTTTAAAAGAGCCATCCCACATGCAGGCACATGCAGGTGATTATACGAGGCCCTGGGCTCCTTCTCGCGGCTCCCAAATCATCCTCTTGGCCCTAGCAAAAGGCTCTCATTCATCATTCGGACAGAGCTGCCTTTGTGAGGCTGAACTTGCAGGGCTGCCTCATTCATTTTGGCTTCACCGGTCAGGATTAAGGACCCGGAATCCAAAGAGTGCCGGTGAGAGCCAAATTAGGAAGGAAGAATTGCATAACATCGAAATGAGTGGGAGTAAAAGAAGGGGGTTGAGCCCTTCACTGTGACTGAGAATTGTTCAGGAACCAGGTCCTCCCGAGGCAGTAGGCGCTAACAAGCAAAGTGCCTGGGTGTATGTGTCAATCATATGGGTATACATGCTCACCTGTGTGAACTTACATGCAGGGGGTGGGGGAGAATGAGGTGAGGGGTCATCCGCTGTGATAGAAAGAATTCAGGTGGACCTGGAGGTGGGTTCTGGTTCTGAATGTGTCATTAACTAGCGAGTGATAACACTGGGAAATCTCAGTTTCCTCCTGTCCAATGTTAACATCTTCCCCCATGGCCTGTACCAGTCTTGGTTAGGAAAAGTTGACCATGAAGATGGTATTTGTGTATTTTTGTGTGTTTATTTAGTTTAATAATATAGTTCTAGACCTTAGAGAATTAGAACTGTGCTTTATGCAGGGGAAATCACAGGGAAAAAATGGTCACAGGCTTGCATCCTGTACATTTGGAAGATGGAATACTCATTCGTTTATTAAATAAGCAATTACTATGTGGGTATTTGTCCCAATTATGTATGCAATTATTTGTTAAATAATAGGTAAGTAAAGTACTACAACAGGAGCGGTCGGGAAGAAGTAACTGGAGAAATGGTGACAAAGGGAGAAGCTAAATGGACCAGACAGGATGACTAGGACTCGAAGGCACTAATAAATTGCAAAATATTGAGTTCAGATGTGTGTCAGGAAGGCACTGAAAGACTGGACTGAAGTGGAATAAAGAACTGTTTCAGTCCTAGACTTGATGTGACATGGATATAATCAAAAGCTGGGCCTGAAAAGAGTGACTTCTAAAGTCAGAGCTTGGGCTGGAGGCCCAGTACAGGAGATAAGGCCTTTCCTTGCATGTGGCCAACTCAAGTTAGATCCCAGTACTGTTTATGGTCCCCTGAGTGCCACCAGTTGTCACTTGAGCACAGAGTCAGGAAGAGTTCCTTAGCACTGCTAAATGTGACCCACAACCCAAATAAATAAAGTCAGTGCTTAAAAGGAGGGGATCACTTTGGAGGCAGTAATAGAAAGAAGCAGCTATTCTTCTGATGGTATGTGATCATGAATATGGCATTTGGGACTGTGAAACTATTCTACAGAGTCACACACAGACATAAAAATATCCATATCACTAGCTTGGGGCAGAGGCACTGCTATTCTTATCATCGACTGCTCAAAGCTTGGTTTCTACAGATGAGGTTTTGGTATAAGTTATTGCTTGACTTGGGGTGAAATTTACACCATAATCGGGGGGCTTAGAAACTTAACTCATCTGGAATAAAGGAACCACGGCCCAGAGTGCTGTTAGCAGTATAGCTAATGTTCAGTGACTTCCTGCAGGGCTTCAGACACTGGCCTAAATGATCTATAATGATTCCCACAACTTCAAATGAGCAATCTGAAGCTCCAAACAATTTAGAGTTGGCCTAAGGTCACGCAGTAATTCATGGTTGGAAATAGAGCAAAAGCCAGATCTCCTACTTTCCTGGGGTCCTGGTCAAACACAAATCCTATTCTATAAGAATCCATTTCTCGTGTCTCTCATCTGGTCCCCACTCACCCAAGCCTCAGCGTCCCGCTGGCTGAGCCAAGAGTCCACATCCTCTTGGAAGCCTTCCTGAATAATCCAGTTATTTTCTAAGAGTTCAGAGTGTCTTGTCTGTCCAAGTTCTGTCTTTATAGTTTCAAATGTCAGTATTTCTTTGTTTCTTTTTTTTCCCTTTTCTTGCAAAATCAAGAAAAGACGGGACTGGAAAGCTAGTACAGCGTGTAGGGCTTTTGCTCAGCACGCATCTGACCCAGGTTCGATTCCCAGCATCCCATATGGTCCCTTGAGCACTGCAAGGAGTAATTCCTGAGTGCAAAGCCAGGAGTAACCCCTGTGCATCACCAGGTATGACCCCCAAAGATAAAAAAAGACAGAAGGAAATAAAAGAAAGCAAGCTGACTGAAATCAAGAGTAGATTCAGAAGAGAAGGGAAGACAGCTATTCCCCACAGAAACAACAACAACAAAAAAACGGGGCTGAAGAGGTAGTGTAGCAGACAAGGCACTTGCCTTACACAGTCTAACTCCTCTGTGGGCAGAGACCCCTAATTGCCCTGACCCTGGGCTCTTGTTCCTCAAGAGAGGGCTTCTCTTCCCACAGGCTACCACAGACCAGGGCAACTTGCTCCGTCTACAAAACTGTGCTGAGTAAAAGAATAATACCATTGCCCTTTATCAGGGACAGAGAGGCCCACGGAGGCCACCTGACTGATGTGACTCAAGTCATGTGACCTAAGATCACACTTTGTAAATGGGAGGGCTGGAGTTTTTGTTCTGTTTTAGGTCACACATATCTGGGGATGCTCAGAGACAGCTCTGGGCTCTGTGCAAGGAGGTCCCTGCAGGAAATGCTCAGGGGACCATGAGGTACTAGGGACTGAACCCAGGCCTCCAGCCCACCCACACAGCCTGTGCTCAGTGCTTTCAGCTCCCTCTCTGGCCTGTGGGCTGCAAATGCATCCAGGTAGCTGGTCCTGGGACTTTGCTGTATCCAATGTCTCCCTCCTTTCTCTCTGCTTTTTCACAGTAAGTTGGGCCCACAGGAGGGAATTTCCTCCTTACTGGCCCCTACGTGAGGCCAGACAGGGCTCACTCCCAATTTTCCCTGAGCCTTCAACCTGTCTGGCATCGGTGGGATTTCCAGGTGGACAAGTTTCTGGCTGGCCCAAAACTTCTGGTCGCTGGGGTCTGCCGACACCCGCCCCTCTCCCCTGCCTCACAGCAGCACCCTGTCCTGTCTGCACAGGGTGAATTCCCTTCACCCCAGAAATGGGCACCTACTCCAGAGAGTGCTAAGCTGCTGAGCCCTGTGACCGGGGCTCCCCTCCTTAATCCCTGCCTGTCCATGCTTATCCGGTGGCTTCAGGCAGAAGGGCCGGGGGGATGGTGAGCCAGTGGGCAGCAGCTGGGCCAGCGGGGTCCGCGGGACAGCAGCATCCTGGATGGGCCCCTGACTGAGCTGGAGAGGAGCCAGGAGCCATGAGGGTGGCGGTGGGCACGCTCTGGCTCCTGGCTCTCTGGGGGGCCCATCTGGCCCCCGGCTTCTGCCCCTCTCAGTGCAGCTGCAGCCTCCACATCCTGGGAGATGGCAGCAAGACCAGGTAGGCGGCAGGTGGGGTTGGAGGGACGGGTACAGGGTCCTAAGACCACGGTCAGGTGAGGTCCAAGGGGTTATGGGTGGGGTAGGGGCAGAAGGAGTCTACACGGCACTGTAAACTAGCAAGCAAGTGGGAGCATCTCCTCGGTGGGTCCCGGAACATTTATACAGGGACTGGGGTGGGGCACAGGGTGGCACTCCTGGAAATCCTTCCTGGGTCCAAGGGAGAGCATCCTTAAGGGATGCTTTTCTTTATCACTTTTGCAGAAAGTCTTTCCTTTATCACTTTTTCTCTTCTTTCTTTCTCCCACCTTCCCTCCCTCCCTTCCCTCCACCTTTCCCTCCTTCCTTTCCTCCCTCCCTCCCTCCTTCCTTCTTTCCTTCCTTCCTTCCTTCCTTCCTTCCTTCCTTCCTTCCTTCCTTCCTTCCTTCCTTCCTTCCATCTCCCTCCCTCCCTCCCTCCTTACCCCTCCCTCACTTCTTCCCTCCCATCTTTCCTCCCTCCCTCCTCCCCTCCCTTCCTTTCCTTCCTTCCTCTCTCCCTTCCTCCCTCCTTCCCTCCCTTCCTCTCCATCATCTTTTTACACCCTGCCAGCCTTCTCCTCCAGCTTCTTCAATCCCCTTGTCCCATCTCTCAGAGCTGCTCCCTCACCTCCCAGGAATTTCTGATCCCCTGCTCACAAGACCCCCTGCTTTTGCATGCTCAGTCCCCAGTGGCTTTTATTGGGCCAGCCCCCAGGGGTCTTGCCCTAACCTCACAGCAGGGGATCTCCAGAAGCAAACTGCCCTATCAAGGCAAGCAAACGTGAGGGCTGTGAGGGGCGGCAGAGAATCAATGGGAGAGGGGTGGGGGGAAGAGAGAGAGAGAGAGAGAGAGAGAGAGAGAGAGAGAGAGAGAGAGAGAGAGAGAGAGAGAGATCCACCCTCAAGGGTCCTCCTGAAGGGTGATGAAAGCAAGATTCCCCTAAAGGGCGACCCTTCTTGGGCCTGGGCTTCTGGGCCTTGTGTCCAGGTGCAGACTGGACCTGCCCCGAGTGCCCGGAGCTGGGGGACAGAGACGCCCGAGGCTGCTGCCAGCCAGCTCAACTCTCCCTCCTTCCCGGGGCCAGGATGGTGCTGTGCAACGACCCGGACATGACCCTGCCGCCGGCGTCTGTCCCTCCGGACACCTCCAGGCTGCGGCTGGAGCGGACGGCCATCCGCAGGGTGCCCGGGGAGGCCTTCCGGCCGCTGGGCCGCCTGGAGCAGCTGTGGCTGCCCTACAACGCCCTCAGCGACCTCAGCGGCCTGATGCTGCGCGGCCTGCGGCGCCTGCGCGAGCTGCGCCTGCCCGGGAACCAGCTGGCCACGTTCCCCTGGGCGGCGCTCAAGGACGCCCCCCAGCTGCGGCTGCTGGACCTGCAGGCCAACCGCCTGGTGGCCGTGCCGCCGGACGCCGCGCGCTTCCTGGGCAACCTCACCTTCCTGGACCTCTCCAGCAACCAGCTGCTGAGGCTCCCCCAGGAGCTGCTGGCCAC